TACAACATTCGTGACCACGAGAGGAAGCCCAACGATTTGGTTACGTTTTTTTTTTTTTTTTTCATTCGTATTGAGAAATTAATGTATTTGCAGGCTTTTACAGTCGTCACACGCGGCTGATTCATCCTTATTTTCGCACGACTTTCACAGTCGAATTAAAATAGCATCACAACAGCTGTTGTTGGGTATATGCAGGGTTTATTTTTGTATACAAACGTCTCCAAGAATATGAGGGCACTCATCCGTACAGTGGCCTACTGCGGAACAACAGATAGCAAACCAGCTAATTTTGACGCTACGGGCACAAATAAAAGCAACAATGCCTCAAGTGGCATTTTAAATAAGATAATAAAATATACGTGTGTATGTAATCATGCACGTTCGTTCACCTAGAAATATTTCCAAAGAGTACACCATCACGAATCATGCTTTAATTTCAGGGAGGAAAAAAAATCATCCAATACCAGTGAATTTGGTAATAGCGATGCTATCGATTGAAATTGGGGAAGATAGCGATGTAAAAATAGTATGGCATGGCTGGTGGAATGAAAGAAAAAAAAAAACAAACCTGTAAAATTCGAGCGGATTTCAGCGGTGGGATTAATAGAATTCCGGTGTTTTTGTTTAGCGGCACGGTAAAATATTGCCATGACAACGAGGGTCTGGAATTTTTAGTGCAAGGGCGAAAAAAAAAAAAAAAGAATTCTTTTTGGTTTTGTTTCCCCACCGTTCAAGCTACACCCAAAGTAAACGGATATCGACGCCTGGAGGCCACGCGGAAAGAGCCGTCTCGAATTTCGGAGCAAAAACCTGCAATCTCAATTTCTCGTGCAAAAAGAAAACCACCATCCCCCCTCCCCCGGTCTTGGGTCGCAAAGCACCCGGCTCAGGTTTTTCTGTGGCAACACGTGTCATGCACTTGCTTTCCCATAGAAAATAAAATCGCAACGTCTACTAAGTATGAGTGAAAAGCACAAGTTGGAATTTGAAACACTTCCACCTTTTCCCCTAAGTATATAATATATATACTTGACACGTGCAACAAATATAGTCGACTGTACGGCCGGGGCGCCCCGAGCAACCTCTTTTATTTGCATCGGATTCACCGCGAGCCGAGACAGAGATTGACAAACGCCTCGGCAATCTGTTCTCTCTCCGCGTGCCGGAAGCGCACTCCCCCCCCCCCCCCCTAGCGCTCGGACACCCCAATCGGATTCCAGACTCGCGGGGGTTAGCAGCGATTCAATCGGCACCGCGAGGAGAAAAAACAAAAAACCAAAGCGAGTGGAAAATCCGTTCGATGGATGGGCGCTTGTATATACGAGGCGCGGTTGAATAATCAAATGACCCGCAAAACGGTGCACGTGTATATACACCGGCTACGGAATACACGATCGAATATTTGGTAGATCCTGGAATTTTTTTTTTTTTTCCACTCGCGTGAAAGTATTTTTAGTACTCGAGCCTCGAATGTGAAACGGGAAGAGCCGAAGTGTTTTTGGTGTACATTCGTCATCGGATGCGCGGCAGGTTGTACCGATGTACGAATCGAAAGCTCGGAAAATCAAGTGGTTTTTATTTCACTCTCCTCTGAATGACGTGTCCGTTTTGATCCACCCGAGAGCAAATGATCCCCCCGAAAGAGCGACGGTGGAAAAACAACCTTCAAGAGCGTTGTATTTGCGAAAATTATCCCATCCGATTACACGCCCGACGATCAATTAGGCACCCCTTTTTTGCTGTGATTTTCGATCAGGTCATGAAAAGATTCATGTCCCTGGATGCAATGACCCGAGGTGTTTTCGCTAGTTTCCAGAGAGCACCCAAAAAGTACACACGGGACGCTCAATCATCCGACCAAAGAACCGAAAGTAAAAAGAGGGAAAAAAAAAAAAAAAAAAAAAGCTCCGTCGGCTTTTGTAGGGAGAAGTAAAATAAATGTAACAAGCCCCGCGGACGGAAAATAACAAGCATTGGGGCAAACAAGGCTCCAGCGTCGCGTTCAACGCAACAGTTGTGGCGTAAATAATGGAAAGCCCGCACCGATGGGGCGCGCGCGGAGGCGCTGGTTGAAGAAAGAAAGAAAGAAATGAAATGAAATGAAAAATGAAGTTTGGAAGGGTAAAAAAGCGCGGCGCAAGATGACGGGCGTGATTCGAACAAACGAGCAACAAACGCCGACAGATTGGACGTATCCTGGCGCGCGAAGAGGAGAGACACACACGAATGGATACACAATGCAAAACGCAACGGGAAGACAAATAGAGAGACGGAGCGCCATGCAACTCCTACACGCGAGATAATCCACCTAAGCCCATGGGCTTTTTTGTTTTTTTATGCACATACAAAGGGGTTTTTTGAAAGAAACAGAGGGATATATACGTGACACAACAGCGAGGTACATGAAACACACAGCGAGTAGAAAAGTGGGGGGGGGGGGGAAAAAAAAGGAAAAGAAAAGTCTCTCCCGGGAAAATCGTGCTTGGTGTAAATGTTGACGTACGTTCGTCTGCGTGCAGCTCCGCGGCGAACCTATCTCTCGGCCGGTGCCTGCATGGGTGCGCGCCGCTGCGAGCCAAGCCCCCAGCCACCCGGCCGGGGAGTTACGCCATGTACAGGTATGTGTATATATAATTGCCTAGACCTTTTTGGTACTCGCGACGAGGGGGCCCCGCAGCTCCTCGCGCCCCTGGCAATGCAATGTTGCACGCTCCAGCGGCAGCGGTGGACTGGAGAGCCGCGCACCCGCCGCCCGAGTCTTATACCTCGTCGGTGCCGAGCGCCTGCGCCATCCGGCGAGTCCGGCGCTCGCGACGCTGCCTCCTGGGGGCATAACACGAGCGCGGCTCGTCATCGCCCGATCGATAATCAACGGGGGAGGGGCCCCGAGAGCGCGCCTTCAATTTTCAATCGCCGAGCCCGGCCGGGAAGGGAGATGTATAAATATACTGCTGGGCTGGAGTGCCAGTGTACACTTGCATGCGCGTTAACGCAAGGGCGCCCCCGTCGTGCGGCAAATCGCCGAGATTTCAATTGCGCTGCTGATGACAAATTACTTGAGACAATGGCCCAAAGAGTTACTAAGTATATATGTATTCGGCACAACGGTCGACATCGTCGAAAATACGAGCCCGCAATTATTTCCTTCGATTATAAATATGTTCTTTGCTGCCCGTTCGCGTGTACTTATACACATCCACCACCATCACCCTCTCTCGCTCGTTCTTGCTTATACATCTCAGCGTGGATCGTCAAAGCGCTCGCTCTTAATTGGAATTAGCGCCGCGTGCCACTTATCGTCTCCTCTTCCCTTTCGCCGCCTACTCGGTGCAACTGCCACCGTCATACGTCAATAATGAAATTAAAAAATAAAAAATAAAAAAATTATAACATGTATACGCTTACTAGTATTGTTTGAAATTCGCGTGTTGCCAACAAGTATAGAATTGTACATACATACAACTGTGGGTATGCTAGGCAAGACCAACGGATGAGCTTTACCGGGCTCGGGTACATATAGAGAGCTTTTGGAGGAGTGACGATGCGTCGGTCTCGAGTCACGGAGCTTTACCCGAAACCTGTTTTACCAACGTCGAATCTTCAATTCACCGCTATATTTGAACCCATCAATTTTTGCTTTAATCATAATTTATACGTTCAACATAATTATTCATGCCTTGATAAACGCACGCTCGTACAGCTAACGATGGTCGCTCAGTCCTCACGACTTGCGTACACGATGAGGTTTACTACCGTATTTGGTTTCAATAAATAACAGAGGAATGAATATTATTTTTTAATGCTTGTATGAGTTTTTTTTTTTTTTTTTTTTTTTATCGGTGTTCAAAGGCCATTACATCTATGAAATCAACATTAAAAAAAAATTCGTAAAAAAAGGCGGTGCAGAATTGGTAGCTCGTGGTAGGGGTGATAAAGGGGGTGAAGCCTTAATTTGCTGTGGAATGAGAAAGAAACTCGATATCGACTGCTAGTTTGCTAATTTTTTTTTTGCAGCAATGAAATTATTTACATCACTGTAGTGTTCGATATCAACAATTGACTCGCTGTCACGGAATTCATATACGTATAATGTTAAGTGCACGCCTATGTATCAATATTCGTATCAATATTTTATTTACTTTTATAAATTAGTACAAAACAAACTGCTGTCAATATATATGCAAAGATTCCTCACGAATCAACTTTTAATTAATGTTAATTAATCAATAAATTCATGCACGCAGTCCAATTTTTTTTTCCCCCTATCAAATTAAAACTCGTTTGATTTATAAAAATTTCAACTAAACATATGTACATACATTTTGTCACACGTATGTGATTTATATTCTTCCACCAAAATAATCTCTTGCAAATAACTCGATCGCAGGTGAAAAGCCTATCTAGAGTTGAGGTAATTTTTTAGTCGCCACATTTACATCTTCCAAAAGCAAAACGACCCTATAATATTGTGTTCATCCCATTTTCCGCGATGCTTTTTGATTGTGATTGTGCACGCACGTATTAGGAGTCCATTGTCCATTCGCACAATGACCGGCAGTGGCGCTGACTGCACCACACACCCCCAGAAGAGAGAATAAAAATAAAAAACAAACAAACAGGGCGCGCCACCAGGCAATGTTATGATTTAATTTGAATTCATATCCGCTTGACCGAACTGGGATTTCCAAGTTGTAAGTCTGTAAAACTCGATTCGACGATTCAGTAAAACGTCTGAACCAAGTGCATACACCTATAGAGTCGATTCACGAGATTTAGCTCAAATGCAAAAATGTGTATGTGTGCTTTCTTATCTCTTCCGCGTCTGAGAAACCAGAGGCCCGAGACACCGCTCAATACTTCCTCGTCCGTTCCAAAATGGCGTCTGTACCCCGGAGGCTGTGTGTGTGGCCACAACGTATATATGCACACGCGGCGGCGCAATACACCGAAGGGGAACAACATGTTGATTAGCTCCAAAGGGCGGAGGGCGGACACATCCGATATTTAGCGGGCAATTTTGCGGCTCAGCTCGTTACAACGCCGGCGATGGCACAACAAGTGAGTACAGTAAATTATTTATCTAACATTACTCTAAAGCATTCGTATTAATTACTAATGATAAGTGAGCCTTTACGGGTGCGTGCAAGCAATCGGTTCTTAACTGAGGAAATTAATATTTTACAGGTGCAGTCAACGCTGACTTGGGAAGTTGTTTGTTTGGATATGTGTCGCACTTGCATGGAAGTTGACGGTGAACTTATCCCCCTGTACGACGAGGTGGGTGAAATCACCGAAAACGATTATGCCCACAAGCTTGGCCAAATAGCTTCCATAGAGGTTAGTTTTATTCCAAAAGCTTACTTTGATTTTTTTTCCCAAGCTAATTATCGTTACTCCTGTTTTTAATGACAGGTCCGCAAGGACGACGGCCTACCATCGAAAATTTGCGACAAATGTGCATATCGTACCAGTGCATTCTACGATTTCCGGTGTCTTATTCAGGAGTCTGATAAAAGACTCAAGGACATACTCAATAAGCAGTCGACTTCCAATGACATTACAGTAATTGAATTTTTACATTTTTTTATTTTCCAAACATTATAAATCACTGTTAAGATGTTAAGAATACATTAAAATTTTACTTTTACATTTATTAGGAAGATAAAGTTGCCATCCCAATACGTAGTACTTTCATGGCTAATGAAACTCAATCGAGTAAAGACTGTTTTTCTACAAAGGAGGATGCCAGTGAATCTTATAGTAATTTTGATAAATTTGATGTAGTTTTTCAACCTATGGATGAAAAAGATGATGTAGATGGATTGGAAAATATTTGCGGTTCAGTTATTTTAAATATGGAAGAAAGCCTAAATAATCCAATAAGCAACGATGTTGAATTGGAAAGTATTCATGCTGCAGTTGAGTCAGCAGAATCAAATAAAATGACCAATAGTGAAGATTTACAGTACCAAATTAATGGAAATGATTGTGAAGCTCAACAGTCGGATACTTTATTTTCCAAAGCAATAGAATCTAAAGAAGAGAGTGAGAGGATGAACAATTGCTTTTCTGAGGACTATTCAAAAGTTATTGTCGAATTTCTCGATGAAAATCCAGTATCTTATTCCCAACTAACGGATAATGTTAAGATAGATAATTGTGATAGTAGTGATAGTGATGCATATCATTATTTAGAAACTGGAGGGGATACAGTGGGCAGTATTAACGATACTGTGACAAGAATCAAAGAAATCAAAGAAGGTGGCAAAATTGTACAATACCAATGCACTCTTTGTTTACAAAATTACCCGATTATCTCCAAGATTCTATGCCATATCGTAGACTTGCATGTGCCAAAGACTGGACCATTCTATTGTATTATCTGTGAAATGGATTGCGAAGATGTCAAAGAATTGAGAGCTCACGTAAAAACTCACAAGGGTCCAAATCCGTATTCGTGCTTTATTTGTAAGAAATCGTACGAGTTGAAGCGGTATCTGAAAAGACATATGGCCTGTCACTCTGATTTTCCTAGGTACCGTTGCACAAAGTGTGGTGAAAGATTTAAAGTTAGAAATGAATTGGAAATTCATACCAATTGTGAACATTCAGAAGAAGCAACGTTCAAATGCAGCCAATGCCCTAGAGTGTTTAATCATAAAGGAAATTATAAACGTCATCTGATCACTCACCTGGATCCAAAAGGTCTTCACATACCAAAGTATCCATGCACTGTTTGTAATAGGAGATTTTTAAGCAACCGCACTCTAAAAATCCATTTGAGAGTTCATACAGGTGAAAAGCCATTTGAATGTGATATTTGTCATAAATTTTTTTCCCAACAAGGAAATTTATTCAGTCATTCTAAAATCCATACAAATCCAGGAAGTTTCAAATGTGACGTTTGTGGAAAATGTTTTAATCAAAAAGGATCGCTTAAAGATCACGTTAGAGGAATACACAATAAAGAAAAGCCTTATGTATGCAACTATTGTGGTGTAGCATATCCGTTTAGTGCTGCTCTACGTCGTCATATGTGGTCTCATAGTGATATAAAACCTTACGAATGTGATACTTGTAAGGCCAAATTCGTTGGACGATACGATTTTAAACGTCATTTGAAAATACACTACAAGCCTAAGCGTAAGCGAAACAAATCAAACAGAAAAAAAAAATCAAAAATCGGTATTGCTTCCCAAGAAGTTGGTAATGGTGTTGAAGATAAAAAAAAATCAGATGATTTTTTTAACGAGCCAATATTATTTAACAACGAGAATGATATACAAGCAAATTTACTGGAATCAAGCGATTCTGTACTCGGACGCATTCAGTATTAATATAATATTATGGAAGTTTTAGACGTAGTAGTAGTGGGTGTTTAAATGTGTTGATCATGTTTTAAGGTATTTGTTAATTTTTATACAAATTTATTTTATTTATTTTTACTTATCATTGGTAGATAGCTTAGGAATTGCGATGCTTCAAATATTACTGATGCCTCGATAGGTGGCGACACTATGTTGGAATTGACGATTGGTGTCTATTTTTTGACTATTGACTATCGGTGTCGATAATTAAATTGAATTTAATTGATTGGTGTCTATTTTTTAAACAGTTTTTATTTTTGTACTGTTAATCAAGTGATAAGTATTGTTAAAGTTCAAAACCGTGAACAGACTGATTAGTATGCGTTTATGTACAACATTGTATTTTTATATTACATTTTTTTTATTTATGTATTAGAAGCTGTGTGACATGTAAGCAATAAAAATAACATACCTACTATATAAATGTCAAAGCGGCTAAATCTCATTTAACAATTTCCCATAAAATTACATAAACGAATAAGTACACTGAAAAACATCAGTCCATTCAGATCTTTCCTCTGTACGTGCCTAAAAATGGCTTGAAAAAAGCTATTTGTAAAAAAATTGAAATTAACGGAGATTGTAAGTACAACAATTGTAAGACCTTCTGAGTCATGAATTAACATACACATTGACATTCTCACATCATTTTCATTGATAATAAAAATATTTACGTAAGTACGCAAATCCTGTCAATCTGCTGCAGCTGCAGCTTTTCAGACTTTTCACCTCGTGCGCGCATGACGACGACGACGCTGTCAGTGGCGCACCCTTGAGGCACATTTCGAGCGTCCGAAGAGAGGGATAGTATCAGAGAGTGAGCGAGAGAGAGTGTCTCACTAAAAAGCGTGACCGCCCGCCCTGTCCGCCTCCTCGTCCTCCTCCTCGCCGCCCACCTCCTTCGGTTGGGCTGATGTTGCTGCTGCAAGCACCGCCGCTGCCGCCGCAACTGCCGCCGCTAACCGCCAGGCAACTTGGGTAAGTACTCTCACTCCTCTCGCACGACTCAGTCTGCACTCGCATGCTCCCGAGGCAGCTCGGGCCGACCGCTTCCTCCGGCCTCGAAGCTGTGCTACGCGCTGCCACCTGGGCCAGCTCGCCCGAGAGCAGCCCTCCGCCGTGCCAGCGGCCGAGAGGTTAGGTGCGCCCCGTCGGCTGGCACCACAACAAAACACCTTGCCAGTAGCTCCTCGCGCTTTTGTAATAGTTGTTCGCTAGCTTGGCACGCTTTAATTTTAACCGCGCTCGGGGCCACGCAATACGGCGCCCGCAGCAGCCGAGGGACACCAGCCCGGGCCCTACCGGGCCGACGGCTAGCTGCTGGCCGCCCGGGGCCCCCCCTCCGACACACCTGCAGCCATGGACAACTCGGCTTACGTGCCGAACCAGCTGCCGCCGCCCCTGGTCGTGTTCTCCCAGGCCGGGGGCTTCTCCGAGGCGGCCCTGCGCATGCAAAGACCCTTCAACCCTCAAGTTAGTACCAGACCGGCGCTAATACGAGTGTACCGTTCTTGTTTTTGTTTTTGTTGTTGCCGGGTTTGACGTATACGCGCTGCACGAGAGCACGTGTGCACCTCCCTTCGTTCTATATACTTTGTTGTTGTGACTATACCCTGCTGCTGTGGCGAGATGTACCCTAGGTATATAATAAGGGCAAAGTTTTCAACGCGCCCGCGCCCCCGTCAGGAGAGGGAAATTCGAACGGTGCCCGCTCGTCAGCTGTTTTGGACGCCGTGTAGCTTTCTCGTGTAGGATAATATATTTTTGCACGAGTTTTGTGTTTTTGTGCTTTAATGGAGTACGTGCTTTCGAAGATGTTTTTCCGTGCGTTTGGTTGCGCTGTCGATTGTACCTATCACCTTTTTTTTTTTTTTTTCACATAAATTTATGGATAGATCGGCAAAAGAAAGCGCCATTTTGAAATTTTTGGAATTTAAAGAGTATGAGAACCAGAATTAACGTAAATTAAATAAAATTTTCGCGACTTTTTTTTTTCCATTTATTTCAGTTGAAAAAGATAGTATTTGCCGCAGTTTGAGTCATTTTTATCAAATGACTGCAAAAATATAGCCATTTTTGTCGTCCACGCATCGAAAGGGTTGAGTTTAAATGTGTGGCTATTGAAGTGAAATTTTTTTTTTTTTTCAAACAAGTGAATAGACGTTTATTTGAAAAAAGTTAAGAGTCTACAATGTATATTATTCGTTGGTTGGACAATATATGTAATTAGGTCCAATAAGTTATCATTTATTCTGAAATGTTTCAGCGTCACTATTCTTGTTTCGTTAAAAATGAAATAATGCGTGAGGTTCCAATGATTTTTATTTTTATTTTGTCTATTCTCTCGCTCAAAGTATGAAAAATAACTCGAAAGTCCTAAATTTCAATGTCTTCGACGGAAGTCCGAAAAGTAAGAATAATGGAGTTTAACAATTGTCAAACATCACAATTCTTTTCCTTCGAGCGGTCGATGCACGTTAACTTGCAAGTTTTCTCATCGTGGGCACGCGTTGGTATACTTACCGTTACTTAATTCGAGACTCTCAGTAACGTTTAACATTGAAAATTTATCATTACCCTCTTGTAAGTTGAGATCAGTGCTTCATTCGAATTTTCAACTTTACGGGCAACATAAGATTATCTTGAGTACTTACATTACGTAGATAACTCATTTGACATTGTCCATGCGTGCAATAGTTTCTATATACTGTGATCGGTAAAAATGCCGAATCAGTATGTCAAATGTTGGTCATCCCATAATGAAAAATCGTGTTTAAAACATACTTTGATCGTCACATGGGATCCCCTTACACGAATAAAATAATATTATTCCTGTTGCCGTTAACGATACGATTGAACGAATCGACTTATACTTGGTACACATCAACAACAAACGCAGTAGTAAGGTTGAGATGAAGTGAGTATAAAGAACGGGGGCCCTCTTGTTGCCTGTTGCAGATCGGCGAGACGAAGGAGCTGCAGAGCCCGTTCAGCCAGGCAGCCGCGAGCCTCGACTACCGGCTTCACCAGCACATGCTCCACCTGCAGCACCAATTCCTCCACCCGCTCGAGCACCGACTGCCCTTCGGCAGCGCGTTCCGGCCCCTCGCCCCCTCGGCGTTCGCCCCACCCCAGAAGCGCCTGAAGCTCGAACCCGAGGGCGGCCCCTCGCCGGGCGGCCTCTCGAGCCTCGGCTCGCTCACGAGCATGTCCAGCATGTTCTCGCCCGTGTCCTCGGTGGCGAGCTCCCAGCCGGCGGACCTCGCGCCCCAGAGCCCGGCCAACTCGACCAGCAGCAGATCGCCCCCCGGCCAACAACAGTCCCAGCCGCAGCAGCTGGTCGCACCCCCCGCTGGCAGCGACGGCCGCGCCTCTGCCAGCGCCGGGCCCACGGATCTACGGACCGAGGAGGAGCGCGAGGCCAGCAGCGCCACCCCCTGCTCCGAGAACACCGAGCGCTCGACCCCCGAGGACAGCCGCGCCTACAGAAGTGAGTAACCCCGCGCAGTGTCTCCTATTTATACAAACACTCTCTTTTTCTTCTTCTTCTTCTTCTTCTTCTTTCCTCCATTTACACGACCACAAGTTCCACCCTTCATTTCCACATCTCACGGTAACACCATCGCAGTTGCTCATTACTTGTACTCCCTTCTCCCGATCGGATGGAGATCGGTTTGGCGCTTAAAACTATAAGTGTTGGCATCGACACACCCCGAGGGACAGGAAAGCAGCTCCGTTTATACTTTTGGGGGGTATCGCGGTATCGTCCGTATATATTGCGTATACTCGCAGCAGCAGCGCAAACAATCACCGCCAGCGTCGCGTTCACACGGGCATTTAGCGGGGAACTCTATATTTACCCCGTGGCCGCGCGAAGGGGGGGGACTTTCACAAATTTGCCTACCACCGCATCGTTACCGCGCGTCTCTATACCTGCGTGTTATATACAAAGCTCGGAAAAGCCCCGTGTGTTCGCGGCATCGGGAGATTTGAACGCCGACGGCGGAGGCGTCGCTCTACCTTCCCTATGTATCCTCCTCGCGCTTCAACGCAACACACTCTACAATGTGCCTATTTACGCGACTCGTGAATTGTACGTGATGGGTAAGAGCGAGCGTTTAGCGGGCTCGTAAAGAGCACCGTCTCTCGTCCTCCCTCCCCAATTCTACGGGGCTCGCGCGCGCGCGGCCCGTCAGAAGAACAAGCTGTAATGGGTTGTAAAATAATACGTCCCCGGGTTACGAGCGCCCGCTGTTTCGTCTGGCTGTACTTGTGTGTGTGTGTGTGTTACAACCATCGTAACGTTGCCCCCACCCCACCCCCCCCCAAAAAAAAAAAAAATATTACCATCAGAAAACTTGGTTATTGTTATTATCATATCGCGCACGAAAAAAACAATTAAAGGCGTTTCCGATTGCCTATGGAATTTTTACAAAATCAATCGGAGCATCGGCAAAAGTGCGCGTGTAACGTAATCATAATGTGTAACCCGTACGTGGGCGCGCGCGCGCGGTGATCTCGGATTTCCGCGTGTGTGGTATTAATTTACAAAACGCAATCCATCCGCTCGAAAAAGGGTAGTACAAAAATTCCCTCGGACTGATCGAGTGACGGGGGGTAAGTATACACGTGTGTGCGATGAGTTTTTAAAATGTTTACTGTGCGTGTGAGTGGCCGGCAGAGTCATCCGAGCGAAAATTCGCCACGGCGTGAAATCTCGCATCGTTGGAGCGTCGGTGTAACTCTGCGCGGTAATGGTTTGTGCTGCGCCTTTGTCGAGGACTCGGTCAACACACGTACAAGCTCGGTTGGGGCATGACGGTGCCATCACGGGGGCGAGAGGGGTACAGTAGCTTACCGATAACTGAAATATACTCGTCACCAAACAGCGACTGCAACTGCTATATTGGAAGGGGAGGGGGGGGGCGAATAGCTCCGCAGTTTCTACCCCCCTCGCTCGGCACGTGTCATGTGATCTCCGACGTTGTCGGAGTTGTTTGCGCGATGCGTCCGTCCGTAGGTGTATACACACCCTGCTATTGCGGCATTGACCAGCTTTGCCCGAAATGTTTTGTTTCACCTGCGGGGCTCGCCATTAGTATATTTCATCCCCCCATATTTCGACTCCCGCGTCACTGTTTGGCTCTTTTTTTTCCCTGCGATCAACCAGTTGGCGAGCGCTAATCCGTGCGTTGATAGCGAGAGAGTATTATACAGGCACATCCTCGGTATCATAGTGCAGCAAAGGGGTTGGAGGTATCATTTTTTTTTATATACCATATTCTCTGTGGTATATACGCTTGGTCGCTCGTAAAACAAAAAAAAAAGTAGTGCCGCGGGCGCAGATGTGGCCCGACACCAGCACTTTTTTTTCAACACTCTCGACGCATCGATGCTGCGTTTAGCGTACACGACTGCGTGTGATGCGTCCACGCGAAAAATCACCCTTTGGGCGTTCCTTTTTTTTTTTTTTTTTCATTAGAAATTTGTCGTGTACTCGAGCTGTGGGAGAACAATAGATTGTAAGCTAATGACGTCGTCAGCGATACCGCAGTGATCCAGTGTTTGACGGTGGTTCTGGAATGTCGTGGAATCTTGTGAATCAAAGGCGCGCCGAGTCTCGGAGGCTTGGGAGTGATTCTTTTATGGCCTGGGCGTTGTTGTTGTTGCTTTTTTAAACAGCCATCAAGCCGTAAATGTATATATAATATACCCAATCCTACCGCGGGAGAAAAAACGTTTGAGCCGGAATTCGGGATCTCTATTTTACTGCCCCGAGACGGTGTCGTATGGACATACGATGCATTCTCAAGTCTATAAAGATTTTCTCTGGTAATTACAACCCCATGAGGGCGCACATAAATCTCTGGTCGAAGGCAATAACGGCCGATGAAGAGTTAAATTTAGATCTTTTTTTTTCCCCCTATGATATCCATATACTTTAGATTTTTTAGTAAAATAGTATGTATTTTTATACATTTCAACAAGTTTTAGGATGATGTAACTGTAGTGTCGTATTGAGACCGCGAGAGTATTTTTGGTAAATGAAAGTATAGAAGAAAGAGCCATACGTATTGTGTTCGAGGTGCGAGCTCATTAAAACCCACGGACCGTTACACGTGAGCATATTGAAAAGCTCGTCGTGACGCGTTGGGCTTCAAGCTGTCGGCAATTAATGTAATCACGGGAGAGGAACAGAAGGGCAGGCACACGCTGTTTTACCCTTTTACGGGAAAGAAGAGGGAAAAAAAAAAAAAAAAAAAAAGGTGAAGGAGGAGGTTAGCTCGGTAGCTTGCGACTCATGGCCCGGCCGTAAAATAGAGAAATCATCCGTAAGGGCCCTCTCTGGCCGGCGGCTCCTCGCATTCGCACGTGAGCGTTGAAGGCAACGCGGCAAAGAGGACCGGGATATTTGATTACGAAATAATTCGCGCGACGTGATATACCGAATCGAGGATGCTCCCCGGCAGCGGTGCCGTACGTGCCCGCCCTAAGAATACAAATGAGGATAACTGCTTTTCCGCCCTCGGGAATCCATTGTGGCGTGTGTGGCGCGCATTTACGAGCGCGTGGGAGAAAACGACTAATCGAATCGCAACTGTGCAGGTGATGTCCGACACTCGTGATTTAACTTTTTCGAAAAACTAAAGGGAAGGAAACTGATTGAAGGTATAATACATTTTTTTCTTTCTTTTTTCTTTTTTTTTTCAATCCTCAAAGTTACCGGGTGTACCTTTTGGGGCTGCTTTCATAACGTTATCGCCTACCCTGCGCGATCGCAAACGGGCAAACTTTTTACACGGGATACGTATTTCGCGAAACGTGAAACTCATTACAATGGGTGGAGGGGGAATAATAACGAAGAAGCTTGGCTTACAGAATTACAAACGAAACGCGCGCTGTGCGTATATACCTACAATGTATATAATTATTGTCTTACAAAGGGATATCAGGTGCAGCGCCAATAATAATTGCGTGTACGAAACGCAGCCAAGAAAAAAAAAAAAAAAAATCAAATACAGTAGAGAAAACTTGGTTATTGTTATTATCATATCGCGCACGAAAAAAACAATTAAAGGCGTTTCCGATTGCCTATGGAATTTTTACAAAATCAATCGGAGCATCGGCAAAAGTGCGCGTGTAACGTAATCATAATGTGTAACCCGTACGTGGGCGCGCGCGCGCGGTGATCTCGGATTTCCGCGTGTGTGGTATTAATTTACAAAACGCAATCCATCCGCTCGAAAAAGGGTAGTACAAAAATTCCCTCGGACTGATCGAGTGACGGGGGGTAAGTATACACGTGTGTGCGATGAGTTTTTAAAATGTTTACTGTGCGTGTGAGTGGCCGGCAGAGTCATCCGAGCGAAAATTCGCCACGGCGTGAAATCTCGCATCGTTGGAGCGTCGGTGTAACTCTGCGCGGTAATGGTTTGTGCTGCGCCTTTGTCGAGGACTCGGTCAACACACGTACAAGCTCGGTTGGGGCATGACGGTGCCATCACGGGGGCGAGAGGGGTACAGTAGCTTACCGATAACTGAAATATACTCGTCACCAAACAGCGACTGCAACTGCTATATTGGAAGGGGAGGGGGGGGGCGAATAGCTCCGCAGTTTCTACCCCCCTCGCTCGGCACGTGTCATGTGATCTCCGACGTTGTCGGAGTTGTTTGCGCGATGCGTCCGTCCGTAGGTGTATACACACCCTGCTATTGCGGCATTGACCAGCTTTGCCCGAAATGTTTTGTTTCACCTGCGGGGCTCGCCATTAGTATATTTCATCCCCCCATATTTCGACTCCCGCGTCACTGTTTGGCTCTTTTTTTTCCCTGCGATCAACCAGTTGGCGAGCGCTAATCCGTGCGTTGATAGCGAGAGAGTATTATACAGGCACATCCTCGGTATCATAGTGCAGCAAAGGGGTTGGAGGTATCATTTTTTTTTATATACCATATTCTCTGTGGTATATACGCTTGGTCGCTCGTAAAACAAAAAAAAAAGTAGTGCCGCGGGCGCAGATGTGGCCCGACACCAGCACTTTTTTTTCAACACTCTCGACGCATCGATGCTGCGTTTAGCGTACACGACTGCGTGTGATGCGTCCACGCGAAAAATCACCCTTTGGGCGTTCCTTTTTTTTTTTTTTTTTCATTAGAAATTTGTCGTGTACTCGAGCTGTGGGAGAACAATAGATTGTAAGCTAATGACGTCGTCAGCGATACCGCAGTGATCCAGTGTTTGACGGTGGTTCTGGAATGTCGTGGAATCTTGTGAATCAAAGGCGCGCCGAGTCTCGGAGGCTTGGGAGTGATTCTTTTATGGCCTGGGCGTTGTTGTTGTTGCTTTTTTAAACAGCCATCAAGCCGTAAATGTATATATAATATACCCAATCCTACCGCGGGAGAAAAAACGTTTGAGCCGGAATTCGGGATCTCTATTTTACTGCCCCGAGACGGTGTCGTATGGACATACGATGCATTCTCAAGTCT